GAATACCTAGAAGATATAGACACAACTTTGGCTCTTACTCTTCAAGGTAATAAGAAAGGGATTTGTTCAATAGGTGAAAGTCAATCTCCTTGAGAATCCTTCTGTCACAATAGTATAGATTTTTATTAGCGTTAGTGCTAACCTGATATAGTGTAGGTATGACTGATCTGTTCATCTACTGCTAATGCAAGAGAATGTGTTGGGATCAAAGTTTGAAATAAGTTCTTGGTACTTCATTTTCCCTTTAGGCCAGGCAGTGTTGGGAGCATGCCAAGGACACAGTCTGAGGGCCTGGCAATGAGACACTTTTTCTTACTCACAGAGTAGCAACCGCTTTTTGTACCAGACACATCTTTAAATTCAGTAGGAGCTCTGATAGTGATGCTCTATAGCCTGTCCCTGCCATATCTCTTTGTGACTCCATCGACCTTCGTGGCAAAGGATTAGCATAAGAGAAGGAAGAATCAGAAAAATATTTTTTCAGGAAAAGAAGGAAGCCCCATAGTCTGAGAGAGGCCGAATTCACAATTCCTGGGACTTGGCATGATGAGGGTATTCCTGCTGCTCTGCACCCTGACAGTTGCTTAAACAAGCTTAGACTCCACTCTGTTGTCATTCCCTCATGCTGCTTCAGTGGATGTATGGCATTAAAAATCCCCTCAATGTAAAATACTTAGCAAAGATCAAGTTTTTGAAGCTAACTTCAGATGTTAATAATTAGCTTTGCTGAATCGCCAGTTTCTGCAGGCTTCTTAAGAATTATACTTTGTACGTGATAGGAGTCTTCTTGATATAATGTCAACCCTCAGCCAAAACAAGGGTGTAAGCTTAAAATATTCTTTAATCCCATTTTGTCTCTTGAAGACTCCAAGTTTCTGTAGCTTCTTCATTTTTTATTCCTGATGAAAAGCACATAGGAGCTTATTCAATAGAAATTACACGCCCTGTTGCATGAAGCCCCTAAGCATTTTGGACCAATTTTCAGTACTAAGTTCTGGATGCTCACAGTGATGAGTTTGCAGTGAGTGTGAGAGTTTCAAAGATGGCATCTTACGCATCCAGCTCCATTCCCCAGCATCCCAAAGGAAAATCACAGCCTCAATCTTTGGAGTTAAAATTAAAAGTGAGTGTTTAGTTTAAATAGTTATAAAGACAGCCCAGCCTGCAACATCTGGCTTCTTTCATGGGTTGTTGGCAGGAAGGAGAGCTTAACCTCATGTTTTCACACTTGTTCCTTTTAGTTTCTGTAGAGTCTTTGCCGTGGTAGTTTATGGAGAGAGCTCTGCTGAGGACTAGCAGTGACTTGGAACTGTGGCTGGCTCTTGCTCAGATTAGACCAGGAGAGGGAAGTATCTAGCTATGTTCTGGCCCATAATTAATACATATGAGGAAATTGTGTTCTGCTCATGAACATTCCTTGAGGAAATAAAGATTAAATTTGTTAAGTAAATTATTCACTGCAAATTAATCACTCAGCTCCACTTGCTATTCTGAGATTTCTGCAATATCTAAGGGAGCTAGATCATACAGGGAGAGGCATGGCCATAAAAGCAGAGGCTGAAGGAATGATTCCTTTCTTGTACAAAATACAAGTCTTATTTTAATTAAAATAACACTAACACACTCTGGGATTGCTTAGCATTAGGGAAAGCAATGTACAGCCCCAAGGTATCTCTGAGTCTCCAGTTAAACTTGGACCAGGTTTGTCTGACGGACAATGAAAAACGAGTTGCTAATATGAAAAAAGTCTAATTTCATTTGCTTTTTGACAGGTGGCCAGTATGCTAAACCCTTCAATCTACTTTGCACTCTACTTTTTAGTTTTATCAGAATAATCAAGTACTGAAAGGGTAAGTTTACACTTGCAGTTTAGACTGGAAGCGATCTCTCCTTTCAGCGCAAGATAACTGGATGGAGCCACTGAAGGGATATGTCACTGTTGCGGCACTTGATATCATGTGGGAGGGAGGAACATAAGGCACTTGAATATCCAGGACCATTCATCGTGGTCCTCACTAAAACTGAATAATGATAATAACAAGCTATAAAGTATGTTGCCTTTTATAAATATAATGACAGTGGGAATAATTCTTATGGGGTCATCTTAATTATTTTTAAGTGGATAACCTTGTTCCCCATAGGACGTCCCAGAGAGGAGAGTGACATTGCCTGGGTATTTCAGGATGGAGGAGTCAATCCAAGCCCCATAAAACTCACCTGAAAAACTTCTATTGATTTCACTGGGGTTTGGATCAGGTTCAAAGACCAGCAAGGAAATGGAATAAGTTACATGCAGTCATGTCCAACAGAAAACTAAGTATGAGAATTTTTCTTATAATTTTACATAGATATTCATTTCCCTTTGAAAAATTAGCTTCAAATACAGAGGATATAAGCACCAAGCTTATTATTAATTTTTAATTCAAAAGAGCTCCTTTTGAAATGTATTGGTTAACTAAATTAAATGAACTTAATGTTATATATGTTTGATTTTCTTCACTTTGTTACTTTTTAAAACTAGTGTGGGTCAACCTTCCAAGGGCAAGAACATAATCAGGTCAGCTTTCAAGCGGCTATAATTTTTCTGATATGTGGATGAGGAAACGAAAGAGAAATGGGTGGGTACTATATCTCTTGAAATGGCCTCTTTCTTCCTGTTTAACAATAAATAATCTACAGAAAGGAAGCTCATATATTACTCTTCAGATGAGTTCCCATTTTATTAATCATGAAGATTTTAACAGGGGCCTGAGACAGGAAATCACAGTCTAATGATCAGCAGAGTCTGATTTAATCCTCATGTTTGGATCAGATTAAAAAGAAAAACAATATACTGCAATGTACATCTATGTAGATAAATAATCGGGTTTAATTACTATTAAACATACATACAGCTTTCATAACAACATACGGCCCTACTGAATTACTAAGGCTGATTAAATATCCATGGTAAAACCTCCTTATGGTTAGAAACTTAAATGGACTTTTCAGGTGGTGTTATCAGATATATGAAAGAAACATATCTCTCAGAGTTCATAATTATTATTAATTAATTATTGACTATTAATAATAACAATGGTTATCTACTTTTATGGATATGTTATTATTAATAATAATAAATTCAACTCTGTTCTAGATGAGTGTAGTTCTGATTAAAATGTGACGTGAAACATCTTGGTTAATGGGCTGAGGTTCAACACATACTCCACTGCAATCCAATAAGGTAGAGAACACTCTTGCATTATATTTGGCAGAATTTCAGCACCTTAACCCCAGTTCCTCCTCCTCTTCTTACTATCCCAGTTCTTAGGAGGTCTGGAAAGGGAAACCTCATCATACCATTAGCATATAATAATTATTCTTTCATCAGTCAGTCTCAGTCCATTCAGTTGCCCATCCATCAGAATCCAAGAAGGCCTCCGAAACTTTTCTTAAACATTTAAACAGAAGTCCAAATAGCAAACCGAAATGGGAATTCATCCGATGAGCCGTGCCTTATCCCTCCCTGGAGTATTCATATGATAGAGGAAGCAGAGAGCAATTCAGCCAAGAGACTACCTGCCTATCTAGCATTGTCTCCTCATAGATGCATCAAAAAGTTGGAAGTGTTTATGGGACTGGGAAAGGCAATTCTAAGAAATAAGACCTGTGCATTTCTTACCAGCTTTCAACCACCAGTTCTTTTGGTTTTCAGTTTGGATGGTTTCTTGTTTTAGCTTTCCTTAAAATTTGAGTTCAACCATATTAAAAGAATGACATAGAGAAAGAAAGGTCTGTGCACTGAGTATTTGGATTGACAAGGACCTCTGAATTTTTATTTGGTGCAAGAGACCTCCACAGTTACTTGCTTTTTTAAAAGAGCTTTTATCTATGCAAAACTTATGAGTAAAAGTTGCTTAGAATAAATTTGCTTGGAAAAAAAATTTGAAAAAATGTTATCAAAATTTTGAAAAAAAAAAAAAAATTACCAAAGTTTTTTATTGACATTTATTTTTGAACCTTTTTCTTGCAACTTACTTAGAAATAGATTTCTTTTTCATTTGTAGTAACGTTAAATTAAGATTTAATTGAAGCTCTGTGGGTGGCCCAAATGTTTGGGGTTTGAAATTGAGAATTTGCCTCCATCTTTCAGCAAAAAGTTGGGAATTTTCCATGGATTCAGGTTTTGTGGCCTATGATTCACAACAAATAAGTTTTACTTAGGATACTCAAGACTTTTGTTTGTTTGACTCTGGCAAATAATACCAAGCAAAATGAAGCAGAAATTCAAAGCTATCTTAATGCCCCCACCCTCATTTAGCCTCTGGGCTGTTTTTCAAGAGGGTATAAAAGACCTTTGTCATTCTCCTCTGTCTCTTTGTTGTAAGCTTTCTGTTAGACTTGCTTTTTTCTCCCTGTGACTTTGTCACCAAATCAAGGACAATGGAGGACTGAAAAGTGCTATTTCAGGGAGTCCAAATTCTGTGATGAATGGCAAAAAAATTATTCCACCATGCAAAAGAAAAAGATGGCTTTAGAAAACTTCCCTTCTCTGCCAGACAGCGACCTTCGATCTCATTGCTTTTATTGCATTACTGTAGAGCTGAGAGAGAAAGGGAGGCATTAGGCACCAGCTAGACCATGTACCACAGCGTGGTGCGAATCTGCTGGGGGATAATATCCCTCGGTCCACTGAAGAGCAGCATACCTTCTTCACATTCGAGTCCCAGCAGAAGTGGAAATGAAGGGTGCAGTTAGTGCCACAAGGCTGAGCGGGAAAAATGAGAGAGGAAAAGAGGATGATTTTCTTGAGGTCCAAAGTCTTACTGAGGCCTGGTGGTGACATAGAAGGAGAGAAGTCTTAAAGCATTTCTCACTCTGAACCCTTTCCTCATTTTCAACTCATCTCCTTAGTGCACCTCTCTCTTTCTTTTCCCCGTCACTTCCTCCCCTCCTTCCTCACTCCCTCCCCAAACAAAGATTTCAGCTCTCTCACCCATGCCGCAAAGCAGCTGCGTGAAGTCACATCCTGATAGAATAAGGAACTGCATAACTGATGTACACTTGTGCAGTACACTTCGTTGTACTTAGTTTGGTTACAAGCTAGTAGCAGTTGCACATCAGCTGGATAAACTTGAATTAAAAATGTTGAAGAGAAAACCATCTAACGTGTCTGATAAGGAGAAAAGTCAAAAGCCAAAGGTAAGAATGTTTAATTTTTATTGTCAATGAATAATAACAGGAATTCTTAACCATTTTTAAAAGGAGGATTTCCTTTTAAATCCTAGCTTCCGGATTTCCTGGTGTGCTAGCAAGTGCCTCAGTGATATAATCTCAGGAATCTATTTGTATATACTCACTTTATAAAAGTAATGATCCAATTCAAGGAATCATCATTGTGAAGCTGCTATAGCTCTGCTAAAGAGTCCTGGTACTGGACTTTGTCTATTGTTATACGCTCTGCATCAGTCTTCTAACAGGCAGGCTCACAAAAATCCCCTCTCTGCCTTTCATCTATGATAAACTGATGATGTCCCACAAAAGAGTGTGAGAATTAGTGAAGAATTAGAAAAGCTATTAAATTTGCTCCTTATTTTAATAAATGTGCTTCTGCATCATCATAACCGAAGGAGGAGAGGGTACTTGGCAATCAGTGTTTGTCATCTTCACTTTTCTGGGAATTATTATACTTTCAGCCTGAAATAAATACTCTCAATAAATTGATAGTATGCTACACTGGACACTTTCCACAATCTGGAATTGCAAGAAAGAAAGTAAGCATTTTGCAAGATGCATAAGTATGTGTCCTGTGCTGGAAATTTATTTTCAGTCCCTGGACTGGGTGCAGAATGACCTTTGCAAGTCTGTTGTAAGCCTGAAGAGAAATGGTTACTGCTAGACCTGAGCGCATCAGTATCCATTTCTATTTCAATTTGCCAGTGCTGAAAATTTAAATAAAAGATTAGAAAAGCCTTTTAGTACATCTCTGCTCTCAGTAACTCACTGTCTCCTAGTTTACAGACCCATCTTCTCATTGTTTGGGAATACACCTCACTTTGTGATTTCTGGGCCCTAAATATTATTGCAGACACTATTTCAGCAGGAATGTCTTCTGGTTTTACTCAGCATTGGCTTTTGTGTATTGCACTTGCAGTTTTAGACTATGACTCATTAGCAATTAAAATTAATATTTTTTGCATGGATTTGAAACAATTCTGAATCCATTTTCCCATGGGTTTGAATGGGTTTTAAACATTTCACTGGTTGGTATGGTATATATTTTCTTCTGTTCAGTCATCATATTGTTTTTTAAAGACAGGGCAGAAGTATAAATAATATCTAATTACACTATAGGTTAAGCAAGAAATGACCATGAGAGACTCTGTGGATGGGCTTTGTTTTCCTGTCTGTTAAATAATTTCAAAAGCAAGTTTTGGTCACTCTCTTCTTCCAGAATAATACATTCCTTAACAACAGTCTGATTTCTTTTTTTTTTTTTCCCCACAGTTTGTATGTTTGCAAATATATATTTTTATATATATATATATAATGGTCATGGATTTGATTCACCGTACGTGTAAAGCAGGGATAAAAAGAGTCTAACCACTTGACTGGTTGTCAAACCTGCTGACTTTGCTGTGCTGACTTTGTCTTATTATAAGTGTTTACAAAAATGGAAAGTAGTGTGCTTTGAAACACTTCATCTACTGTAGACCCACTTTTGCACAGAATTGTGTAAACTTTCCATGATGAGAATATTTTTGCTGAATGTGCTATTCACAAAAAGGGCATGGGAGGAAACAGCCCCACGTCACACGGAATGACAATCTTAGCTTGTTGTAGCATGTTTCGAAACGTGCCCCACGGAAGCAACGCAAATACTTAAGTTGCTTAATACTGAATTGGGTAACATGGGGCGCAGGTCCTTACCTCCCGACAGAAGTTACAGGATTTCACAAGTGACTTCCCTAGATGACTTCCTGGCTGCCCCTGCTCTGCGCAGGCAACATTTGGTGCCTCCTCATACTCACAGGGCAGGATGCCCTTGTCACTGTGGAGGTCTTGGGCTACCTCACTTTGCCTTTAGGCAGCTTAGAAGTCGCAGTGTCTCCAACACATCCACACGTGGCTGACGCCAAGACCTACGGGAGAGCCATAAGGTCTGGAGAGTTAAGTGAAAATCAGGTTTGCTACCTTAGGCCCTCAAAGAGGACACCAAAAAGATCTTTTTAGGTAACTGAATCTTACCCATAGTGACCTTAATCACAATTGTGTCTTTATCGCAATTGGATGAACTTCTGTGCATTAATTCAAGTGCTTCACCAGGATTTTCTTTTTAATCCTTTTGCTTTTATTACTTTCTAATGTGAAGAATATCAGCATCCAGTTATGCCTTTTGATAAAGATGAAGGAATACCACGCAAGGCTTGTGTTAAAACCCTTCTTGAGGTAATTGGCTGTCCCTGTATAAAGCCTCTAGTAGTGGTGGGCAAGTTAATGACCAATGCAGGACTAATATAGATTTTCAGTATCTAACTGCCAGTTCTCTGTGTGCAATGCATTTACTTTACTTTATTGATTACTGTGGTGCTTAAGGGACTTCTGCAGATGCATTAGGTGCTACATAGACAAAAAGTAGCACCTTACAACTCTCAGTGTCTGCTATGAAAGGGTTGATACTTGTCCATTGCCATGAAATAGTAGTGTTGCAGTTTGTTTCGTTATACAGCAGGATTTCTGTAGTGCTGCAGTCATGCTAATAACTTCTTTGCATATCTGGCAGCTTTTGCATTATGCATGGATATGCATATAACTACTGTATGCTTTGTATGCAAACTAAATAAATACGCATTCGTTGCTAGGCAAAAAAAAATCTACACCTGGTGTCATCCCAGAGAACATAGGGAGAGAAATGTGAGAGAAATATTTTCAAAAGACATACTGGAAGGATTCTGATCCTTTGCCAATGTTTATCATTGTACCTGCACATACTGCCATGAAACTGTACATTTATACCTTGTACATCAGCTGAGGACCCAGGTAGTTGAACTATAAAGGAAAAGTCCTAAGGCTTAAAAATACCCTGCTTAATATCCTGGGCTGCATCCAAAGCAGCGTGGCCAGCAGGTCAAGGGAGGTGATTCTGCCTCTCTACTCTGCTCTGGTGAGACCCCACCTGGAGTACTGCGTCCAGCTCTGGAGTCCTCAGCAGAAGAAAGACACGGACCTGTTGGAGCGGGTCCAGAAGAGGGCCACGAAAATGATCTGGGGGATGGAACACCTCTGCTATGAAGAAAGGCTGAAAGAGTTGGGCTTGTTCAACCTGGAGAGGAGAAGGCTTCGGGGAGACCTTATTGCGGCCTATCAGTACTTAAAGGGGGCTTATAAAAAAGATGGGGACAAACATTTTAGCAGGGCCTGTTGTGACAGGACAAGGGGGAATGGCTTT